AAAAATGGTGGTGTGCTCTTGTAGTCCCAGCTACTTGGGAGGCTGAGACAGGAGAATCACTTGAAGCTGGGAGGTGGGAGTTGTAGTGAGCCAAGATTGCACCACTGCACTCCAGCCTGTTGACAAAACGAGACTTCATCTCATTAAAAAAAATGGGCAAAAGATTTAGACACATCATTGAAGAAGATATGGAGATGGCAAATACACCATGACTCAACAGTGTCAAATTAAAACTACAGTAAGATCCTACGACTCACCCATTAAAATCTCTAAAACCTAAAAACTGTTTATACCAAGTGTTGTCTAGAATACAGAGAACATGGAACATTTATACACAGTTGGTGGGAATATAAACTGTTACAACCACTTTGGAAAATCATTTGGCAGTTTCTTAAAAAAATATATACCTAACATATGACTCAGACATTCTGCTCCTAGATATTTACCCAAGAGAAATGAAAGCATAAATCTCTATAAAGACTTGTACACAGATGTTCATGGAAACTTTATTCATCATAGCCTAGAATTATTAATATCCATCATCAAAACAATAAACAAATTATGATATATTCATAAAATACAATACTACTCAGCAGCAAATGATTTATTCATAAATGCTACAATATAGACAAATCACAAAATTACTATGCTGAGTGACAGAAGCCAGACCAAAAAAGACTCATACAATATGATTTCATTTGTAGCAAACTGATCTTAAAGAAAGCAGATCAGTGGTCAGGTGATGGTGGGGTGGGGTGGGAGGTAAGGATTAAGTAAGCATGGATGACAAAGAGGTACTACAAACTTTTGCAGGTGATGAGTATGTTCATTATCTTGATTATGGTGATGGTTTCATGGCTGTATATGTATGACAAAACTTAGATTGAATACTTTAAATATGTACAATTTATTGTACGTCAATTATACCTCAATAAAGATATTTAAAAATGAAAACCTTCCTGGTTTTCATGATTCCCACTCTGTCTTCTGGTTTTAGTATTCTTTTTTTTTTGAGATGGAGTCTTGCTCTTGTTGCCCAGGCTGGAGTGCAATGATGTGATCTCCACTCACTAAAACCTCTGCCTTCCAGGTTCAAGTGATTCACTTGCCTCAGCCTCCCAAGTAGCTGGGATTACAGGTGCCAGTCACTATGCCCGGCTACTACTGTATTTTTAGTAGAGACAGGGTTTCACCATGTTGGCCAGACTGGTCTTGAACTCTTGACCTCCAGTGATCCGCCTGCCTTGGCCTCCCAAAGTGCTGGGATTACAGGAGTGAGCTGCCACACCCAGCCAAGTATTCTTATACCCATATCACATTACCAAAGGTTTTCCATGTTAACCCTATAAATTATTTTTCTCAGGAATCACTTTAGCATCCATTAATAAATAAGTTTTTTCTATTTGCAAAGTTTTAAGAATTCAGTCAGCAATGAATACTTGTATTAGTCAACAGTAAAACTCATAGCTAACATGTATGTGGCAAAAGTATACTAAGGCTTTGTCCTTATGACTAAGTTAATTAAGTAGAATTACAGATTTTTAAATACTAAAACAGTATATCATTTAAGGTGTTATGTCTAAGACAGCTGATGGAGAAGAGCCAATGCAGTATCCCTTCTGGAGAGATTAAGATTTCCAAGGTCCTCAAAAATAGGTACAGAGTGGAATAAAGTTTTTAAAAAAAAAGCAAAGAGGGAAAAAATAATCTCTTCACTTTTGATCACATACTTTGTCATTACTCCTAAAATAAAAAGCTGTACTTGAAAATATCATGGTGCCAAAATGTCAGGGGGTAGGGGAAAGAATTACTTATTACATACATTGTTTTAAAGTGTTTATGCTTGGCTGAGTTGCACGGTATTAAACACATATGTATCTCCTCAAAATGTAATACTAATAGGAGTTACTGGTAGTTATGCTTAGCACTTTAAGGGTCCCAACTGGACATAAATCTCTGGTCAAAATTCTCAGGTATTAAAGTGTTTATTCAGTATCTTCAAGATGAACAAAATTGCTACTATCTCTAAGGAAATTATAAAAAGAAAATTAACAAGTATAAGAAAAAAACCCAGGATTTTTAACGAAAAAAATACATGATAACAAGGGCACTATACATTAAGTTGCTACACACACACACACACACACAATTTTTTTAAAAACCTCTTTTTAAAACCTGGTATAAGTTAAACAACATCTTTCTCATACCCACATGATTAAGTATGTATTCTGACAGGATATAAAGAAGATGAAACACAAGCTGGTGGGCCTCAGAATTAGAAACTCCAATGCAGGACCAGATCCCAAAAGCAATGTTTTCTATCACTTTTGTGAAATTTAGGAAACATTTACCTTGTAAAAGATATAAAAGCTTTTCCTTTTAAGTATGCTAACTATTTGTACAGAAAATCGATATTGAGGCACAGGTCCACCGAGACTGTATTACCTGTAATTCACTGTAGTACATATAAAGTTCATTTGGAGGTTGGGAATGTGAAAAGTATAATGAATAAACAAGCTGAGCTGTAATTGTGAATTTCTTACTGCTAATTTTGAATGTCCAACTCACTCCTACAGATATTACACCTTATAATATGTGACACACAAAAAATATGTCAAACTTTGCTGTAGAGCTGTTAGGAGAATGCCAACATAGATACTGAAAATTTTAGGAACTTGTATTTAATACCCTATACATTTAAAAATAATTAAACATTTTAAATACGTAAACATAGTTTTCAAAAAGTGATGCTGAGCACCTTTAAACACAATACTGATACATTGTGACTAAACATGCATTTAGATGACAATGAATCGCTTTTTAAAGAGCTACTCATTTAAATACTTACATGAAAATACTGATAGCTCCAGTTTCTACCTAAAAACCAAAAGAGTATATAATTAGGGATTTAAACTTTTCTTCATGCTCTTGGTTTTTGTGGGGTTTTGTTTTGTTTTTTGGTTTGTTTGTGGAGAAGTTGCACTGTAACTTTCTGATTAAAAAACAGTATCAGAAGAGACTTTCACACAGAATGAAGTGAGAAAAATATTTTTTAACTATACCAAAGTCTGAATCCTCTGACATGTCTCATCCTCACAAGCAACTGACTGGAGTTTGTATTAACAAGCATTTCTCCTTAGCAACTCAACATCAAAAAAGAAAGGAATGTCTCCAAAAGAATATACTTCAATTGGTGAAATAGCTAATAAACCACTACCACTATTGAGAGGTGAAGATTTATTGTTTAGAATCTTGAAAGAAAAGGATTCCATAAAAACTAGAAATAATAAATGAAAAGAATATTACGTATTGTTCAACACTAAACTATAAATTAATCTGGACTTACTCCTTTTATGTACACACAGACCAAGAGAAATCTGGATCTGAGGTAACTAAGAGCTGTGTTTAACTTAGTATAACATAATCAAATTTGGCAACCTGCCTCTATAAAATGCTGACATCAAATATTTTCAATTCTTAGGAAAATGAAAATTAATTTTTATTAAAAAAACATACATATAACTAAATATTAGCTTTGCATTAAATAGGGTATAAATAATAAACTTTATATTAAATAAAATATAAATCTAAAGGGCAAGGAACATTAGAATTCCACCTACCTCTACTATAACAGTACTTTATATTTAGATACATGTCATGTACCTGAAACAAAGTGAATTAAGAATGGGAGGCTGGACTTAGAAAAGCCAAAAGTGACTCATATTCATGTAAAGTATTAAGGTTAAATTTGATATTATATTGTGCATGCTTTGAATATTAACTATTAATATCCATTTAAAATGTTTATTTTTAAAATATAAAATATACTCATGAATGGTCTCTGGAGAAAAAAAAGCCTTTAGGTTAATTTCCCAACAATTATAATTGATATTTCTAGTTTACCAATCTTTTTTCTTTTTTTCTTTTGAGACAGAGTTTCTTCTCTTGTTGCCCAGGCTGAAGTGCAATGGTGCAATCTCAGCTCACTGCAACCTCCACCTCACAGGTTCAACCGATTCTCCTGCCTTAGCCTCCCAAGTAGCTGGGATTACAGGCACCTGCCACCACATCCAGCTAATTTTTGTATTTTTAGTAGAGACTGGGTTTCACCGTGCTGGCCAGGCTGGTCTCAAACTCCTGACCTCAGGTGATCCACCCGCCTCTGCCTCCCAAAGTGCTAGGATTACAGGCATGAGCCACCACACCCAGCCTAGTTTACCAATCTTTAGACAACAGATGCTTATAATGAATATACCGCTTAGTACTTATTTGGTATTTTAAATTAATATACTTACTTAAAGAAAATATCCCAGAAAAGTTATTTTAAAGTTTTAAATATAAACTAAATTTTAAACTATAAATACTTACCTTAAAATACTAGAAATCCTAATACCATCAATTCAGTAAGAGCTCTGGCACAGAAAAATGTAACTACAAATCATATTGTTTTTTAACCAGAGCTGGATCTTCATTACAAAGTAAGAGGGAAAAAATCCTCTGCTGTCATCAAAAAGTTCCCCAAATTATCTGTAAACACCAAGGAATTCTATTAATCCTTCTCAATTCTCTCAAAAAATTCTACATATTAATACCTATAGTGTTTTACTTCCAATATAGCACAAATCCATGCTACATATGTTGATTTCTGTTGCTTATCTGATTAATTCAAGTAAAAATTCTCAGTATTTACCAAGACAACTTTAAATTTCTATTAGATAACCATTAGTATACTATTGGTTTGTAGTTAAAAGTACAAAAATTAGAAGGGAAGAGCCTAAAATGCAACTGCACAGTTTCCTTTCCACAGATGTAGCTGCTGCACTTTGTGTTACAATGTAAAATCTATTACTTTATCTTTCTTAATGAGACAGATTATAAACATTTTCTTACCTGTCTGCCAATCAAAAATTTCTTCACAACTTTAAAGAGAGAACACGTTCTTTCAGAACTTAAAAAAATTCATGATATACATACACACATACAAACATACATTCACACAATGTTTTTGTTGCTGTAGTCCTTTTCTGTCTTGTAAGAACCAAAATTGAGTATTTCCAAGGATAAGTTATATAAACTATTTGTGTTCAGACTATATTACTATGGATAAGTTCAGAAGAGCTTTTGAAATACTGGCCTTATTAGATAATCAAAAAGCATAAAAATTATACAAAATAAGAGGAATAAAACATCTCTTAAGGAAGGTAAAAATATGGAACTGGCAACAAATATATCTGTTTGAAATAAAAGCTTCTCATCAAACCAGTCTTCAGTCCAATTATCTCAATGCCATGCTTTGACAATATTCACCTTCTTTTCTAAGACATCAGAAGTCACCAGAGTTGTAAATTCTGAAAAGCTTCAATAATTTATGTAGCAGATAATTTCTTACAGTCCAAATTTTTTTTTGCTTCCATAGATAATGCTGGTTCTTTGGGTTCTTGCTTAACTGGGCTCACAGAAATGGTACTTTCTGGATTTTCTTCAACTTTAAAAACAAACAGAAAAGTCCTAAAAGTTAATATATTTCATGACACTGGGAGAGAGAGGAAAAATATTTTACATTCTAAAAATAACTTCTGTGAAGACTTTTGTTTTTCAAAGAAAACTGCAAATCTTTTCCCACAAAAGTGCCCAATCCAGAACAATTTGTGTGCAAAGAAGTGACAAAAGTTAGATAAGGTAGGAGCTAACAGAGTTTACTTCTATGTTGACAGGGATTAGTAATAAAGTGAATGTAACAAGGTCTTGGACCAAACCTAAATGCCCAAGTCTTACTAGTTCCCTTTCAACTCAACATTTAGTTTATAATTTGAAATATTTCCTTCGTCCAGGTGCGGTGGCTCATTCCTGTAATCCCAGCGCTTTGAGAGGCTGAGGAGGGAGGATTGTTTGAGCCCAGGAGTTTGAGACCAGCCTGGGCAACATAGTGAGGCCCTGTCTCTTAAAAAAAAAAAAAATTAAAAAATTTGCCCAGTATGGTGGCGTGTGCCTGTGGTCCCAGCTACCTAGGGAAGCTGAGGTGGGAAGACTGAACCAAGGAGCTTAAGGCTGCAATGACCCATGATTACATCATTGCACTCCAGCCTGGGTGACACAGTGAGACTCTGTCTGAAAACAACAAAATACCAAAAACGAAAATTTTCCTTTTAGCCTTTATATATGCCTACTTCATTTCATTTTTCTTTGTGTATGAGTGCATACATCAATTCCTCCATAAGCTTTGCATGAAAATATTTTTCTTTAATTTTTTCCTATTAATTTTTTCATGTACTCTAAAGTGACCTTCCTGGTTTCATATTACCACAGATTTTTCCATGGAAAACAGGTAATTAGGGTATAAGTAATTTCTATAGCACTAAATAATTAGAAACAAGGAGAAGGAAAACATTTAAGTATAAAAGTTCTGAAACTCATGCGAATGAAATTTCCTCCTTCTCTCTCATAATTTTGCTTCATTTACGTAATATCACAGACCCTGGGTAGAAATAATAGTTTTATTTATAGTATAATATAGTGATGATACTACAAAGGTTACAACAATAACATCATAAATTGATTTCAACTTACTAAGAGCTGAGTGGTTGTCTATAATCCGTACTGGAATAGTCTGCACATCTCCCAACAGAATCTGATGAACAGTTCCTTCCAGATTCCCTGTGTCCTCAACATCTCCAACGTCTACCAGCTGGTCCATTGCAACTAGATTTTGATCTGGTTCTGGGAGGTTACCCATGGTGGAGGCAGTACTATTGTTTTGGGTTAGGCATGTATCTCTTTGAAGGCTATGAGTTTGATCAAGCAGTAGAGAATTATTATTCATTACAGCACTTTCTATTGAATCCAGAAGTCCTGAAGGACTAGAGGATGGCTGGTTATTTACTGATACCAGAGCTGGTGATTCATCAGGAGAGGTGAACCTTGGTTGTAACTGCAAATCCTTTTAAACCAAAAAGAGTTACATCAAACTATCTGAATTTACTATGTCTGATATTCTCATAGGATATACTATTCTTCTGACAAAAAATTGAAATAACAAGTATAGTTATAAATAAATATTAAATGAAGAAAGAAACAAGAATCAAGGGAAAAACAGTACAATTAAATTTATTGAATTCAGTCAACGTTAAACTTTTAAAAAACATACTGTTTGTATTATCTTAAATCAAGACACAAAAAGGTCAAGAAATTAACAATGAAAACATATTTGATCATTATTATAATTGTTAATAATTATCTAAAATCCATAGGAGAAGAAGAGGTGAATTGAGGAATAAAGAGAAGGATCTCAAATTAGGATATTTTACTGGATACCTACCTGTAGCTGTGTAAATATTTTGGGCTGAAATGAGGAGAGTGAAGAGAGCAAGTGGGTTGGCTCAGGAGACAAAGAACCCCCTGTAAGATTTGTTTCCATTTTGGTAGTAATTGATTCTTCTGGTGAATTTCCTAAATTATATTAAAGAAACTATTAAAACAAAATAACTTTTATGGCTTCTATGAAGTCATAAAAATACTTTATTACAACCCTTTCTATCAGAACTAAAATAGGAAATAATTTCAAAGTTTTGCAAAGGGCTTCAGTAAGTCATCTAGCCCAAGGGTCCCTGACCCTACCAGTCTGTGCCTTGTTAGGAACTGTGCTGCACAGCAGGAGGTAAGCATGGGGCAAGCAAGTCCTTACTTCGTGAGCCAGTCTTACTGTGTTAGCTTCACCTCCTGTTAGATTAGCAGAGGCATTAGATTCTGGGATCCAGGTTGCATGTTCCTTATGAGAATCTAATGCCTGATGATCTGAGGTGGAAGTTTCATCCTGAAGCTATACCCCCGCTTTCCATCCTGGGTCCGTGGAAAAATTGTGTTCCACAAAACTGGTCCTTGATGCCAAGAAGACTGGGGACTGCTGATGCAGCCCACTATTTCCAGAACCTGGCAGATTGTGAGAATATCTAAGGTATGTTTAAGAGAATACAGATTCCTAGGTTTAACCTCCATTAATTTTAATTTGGTAGATCTAGGATGGGACTGTCCCTCCATATCCGTGGGAGACTGGTTCCAGGACCCCCGTCAGAAATCAAAACCTGCAGATTCTCTGTTCCTGAAATAAAAGAGCATAGTAATGCATATAGTCTAAGCATATCCTCCCACAAACTTTAAATCCTCTCTGGATTACCTATAATACACGAAACGATGTGTATTATAAAAGTCCTCCAATATACTTTAAATCATCTCTAGATTATCTATAACAAGGAAAAAAATATCTGTACATATTTGGTACACATCCAATTAAAAATATATTTTTGATCAGTGGTTGGTTGAAGCCATGGATGCAGAACTCACACAGAGGCAAAACTATTTATCTCTATATCTATCTATCTATCTATCTATTTTTTTTTTCTCGAGACAAGAGTCTTGCTCTGTCACCAGGTGCCAGGCTGGAGTGCAGTGGCGCAACCTTGGCTCACTGCAACCTCCACCTCCTGGGTTCAAGCAATTCTCCCTGCCTCAGCCTCCTGAGTAGCTGGGACTACAGGCATGTGCTACCATGCCCAGCTAGTTTTTGTATTGTTTTAGTAGAGGAGGGTTTCACCATGTTGGCCAGGATGGTATCAATCTCTTGACCTTGCGATGATCCACCCACCTCGGCCTCCCAAAGTGCTGCAATTAAAGGCGTGAGATATATATATATATATATTACAGTACGGAGGATGGACTAGAGTTACAGATATAGTGTCTTTCAAGGTAAAAAAAAATATATATATATATATATGTACATATATATATTTTTTTACCTTGAAAGACATTATATCAAAAAATATATATGGGTGTAAATATATATTTTTCCTATATATTTATATATACCTATATATTTTACATATATATAAATACATATATATACATATATATGTATATATATACATATATATATACACGTATGTGTGTGTGTGTGTATATATATATATATATGTTTTTTTTTTTAACCTTGGAAAACACTATAGCTGTTACTCTAGTCCATCCTTCATACCGTAATGCTGGACTATACCTAAACTTCTCTAGATGTGTGAAATCTATGGTGCTTCTCAATTATAAACATCAAACTTAATTCGCCTTTTGTAGCCCTAGTAACTAGAACAATACCTGGAAAAATTGGTCTTCAATGATAACAGCATTAAATTTCTTTCAATAACTAATTTTGGTATAAATAAAAATAAAAACTCTTCTTAATATCTCAAATTTAAACTAATTGCAGGGAATCTGAATCATACTCATGTAATTCTTACAAATTAACCCAAATATATTCATCTCTTTAAGTTAATGAAAAACTAGTTATCAGGTGGGTGAAGTGGCTCATACTTGTAATCCCAGCACTTTGGGAGGCCAAGGCAGGTGGATCACTGGAGGCCAGGAGTTCAAGACCAGCCTGGGCAACAAGGTGAAACCTTGCACCTTGTCTCTAGTAAAAATACATAAATTAGCCAGGAGTGGTGGCATGTGCCTATAGTTCCAGCTACTTGGGGGAACTAAGGTGAGAGGATTGCTGGAGCCTGGGAGGCAGAGGGTACAATGGGCAAGATCATGGCACTGCACTCAAGCATGGGTGACAGAGTGAAATCTTGTCTCAAAAAAGCAACAGAAACCCTAATTATCAATGAATATTTATTGCCTCCATAATACAGATGACTAATTTTAAAATGGCCATAGTATCAGAAAAGAATAGATTTAAGCATTGGCTTTCTGTGTGACCTTCAAATATGCTATATAACTCAGTTTCTATTTATTTTTGTAATACAGTCTTGCTCTGTTGCCCAGGCTGGAGTGCAGTGGTATGAACTCAATTCATTGCATCCTCTGCCTCCTGGGTTCAAGTGATTCTCCTGCCTCTGTCTCCTGAGTAGCTGGGACTACAGGCATATGACAACATGACCACCTACTTTCTGTATTTTTAGTAGAGACAGGGTTTTACCATGTTGACCAGGCTGGTCTCGAACTCCTGACCTCAGGTGATCCACCTGCCTCGGCCTCCCAAAGTGCTGGGATTAGAGGTGTGAGCCACCGCACCCATCCTATATTTCAATTTCTAAACTTCAGCTTTCTCATCTGCAAAATCAGTATAAGAGTCCTCTCTCAATGGACCACTGAGAGGATTAAACAGCACTTACACGTTTCTTGGCTTCTTCATTATTAACGTCCTTTTACTTCACTGCTGTAGTCACCCACCACTATCATCACACTCTGGATGATCCTACCTCTAAAATCTCAACTTCGAACATCTCATTCTCTGATCACAATCGCTTATTCTTACATATTTTTTATTTTTATTCTTTTTTTGAGACAGAGTCTTGCTCTGTCATACAGGCTAGAGTACAATGGCACAATCTCAGCTTACTGCAACCTTCGCCTCCAGGGTTCAAGTGGTTCTCCTGCCGTAGTCTCCTGAGTAGCTGGGATTACAGGTGCGTGCCACCACACCCAGCTAATTTTGTATTTTTAGTAGAAATGAGGTTTCACCATGTTGGTCAGGCTAATCTCAAATTCCTGACCTCAAATGATCTGCCTGCCTTAGCCTCCCAAAGTGCTGGGATTACAGGCGTGAGCCACCGCGCCCAGCTACAACCTATTACTCTTCCCAGAGATTTTGCTCCGGTACTTCACAATTGTTCTTCAACCTCATGTGAACCTCCAGTCAATTAATCCCTCAGTTTTCTTCAGATCCATCAACATCTTTCTTAGTAAAATTCTTTCCCCATCCAGCTTACAGTCCTGGGTCTACAATTTCAGTCACTCTTTACAAGTACCTAAGCTCTCATCTGTCTGTCTTTGGGTCATATCCCTCCACTAAAACCCTGACTCTGGATGAAAATGGCTTCCTGCACCAATACATGGGAAGCCGAGTGCCACTGAAAAAGAAACTATTACCACTAATACCAATTCACTATTAACTCTGATTGGACCTTCACCTATATCTAGCAATGTTTCACTCCCTATTCAGGATAATTTTAAATTTGCATTTCCCTCAAATCTATGGCACCCTTCTTGAAGCCTTTCTTTATCCTTAGCACTCTTATTTAAAGAGAAAAAGGGAAGCCAACAGAAGTTTTTAAAACTTCCCATCACCATCTTCATCTATCTTTTCAGTTCTCTACTGTCTTAAAATATCTTCCCTCAACCCTATTCGCCATTGCAAAATTACTGAAAAAGTGGTGCATTTTTCAAGGAGTCCCTACTCCTTCGCTCATCTCCCATTCACCCTTCAATCACCCTAATATGGCTTCCTCCCGATCCACTCCATTGAAATGGCTCTGATACTCAACTTTACAAACCTATTTAGTCCTTTATTCTCTCTTCTGCCTTACCAATGCTCTCTTCTTTTGCCAGTGATGCTGAGCTCAGTAAATGCTATCAGTCAGTTGCTCATTATAGAAATTCAGAAGTTTGGCCAGGCATAGTGGCTCATGTCTATAATTCCAGCACTTTGGGAGGCCAAGGTGGGTGGATCATCTGAGGTCAGGAGCTTGAGATTAGCCTGGCCAGCATGACGAAACCCTGTCTCTACCAAAAATACAAAATTTAGCCAGGTATGGTGGTATGCGCCTGTAATCTCAGCTACTTGGGAGGCTGAGGCACGAGAACCGTTTGAACCCAGAAGGCAAGGGTTGCAGTGAGCTGAGATCGTGCCACTGCATGATCTCGCCTAGGTGATAGAGTGAGACTCCATCTCAAAAACAAAAAAATAAATTCAGAGGTTTAACTTTATACAGGGGGTGAAGTTAAGAATGTACTTAAAAGAGACTATAATTTTAATACTAAGAGGAGTTTGCCATGCAGAAAAGACAAGACATTTCCAGAAAAGAGAACACACGCAAAAGGGTGGAAATAAATTTAGAATATTGAAAGGGCACAGCAGTAAGAACACATGAGAAAAAGCAACCATAAAATGGACCATAGTTCCCAGATCAGGGAATCTTATTAGAGTTCTTACTACTGGAATTAGCCAGAGTCGTAATGAATTAGCTACAGTTAACTATGCTAGTTATCAGCTTCAAAATTTCAGTCATAAGAAAGGATTAAAAGCAAAGTATAAGATGAAATTTAAATAGCAAGAAGATTGTTGATAACCCTAACATAGCTGCTCCTACCTCTTTGGATCCTGATTTCCTTATCTATAAAATTTGATTAGATGAGATAATATCTTAAGTTCCTTTCAGTTAAACACTGTTTGAATTTATATTTTAAAGGTATTCTAGTAAACCTACCTTCGGCAAATGTAACTGTCACGGTCTCTTTGAGAATATTCCCACTGTCTGTAGTCCACTGAAGCTGAAATGGGAATACTGATTTCAGTAAACATAAAGCTCTTATATTGAAAAATATCTTAAGACATCATTACAACTGTCATATTTTATTCACAGTATGTGATTTATTCTGCAACTACTCTCTTCACTTGTTCACATTCTCCAAGCACAAGTATACTTTACTATACAAATACACTAAATTCCTGAGTTCTGATAGCAAAAATATGGACAGCAAGTGTAGATGATAAGGACTACTTCTAACATTTTGATACTTAAGAGTTATAGGGTTGTGTACAGTGGTTCACGCCCATAAGGCCTGGAAAGCCAAGGCTGGAGAAGTGCTTGAGGCCAGGAGTTTGAGACTAGCCTGGGCAACAAAGTGAGACTCTGTCTCTACAAAAAATTAAAAAATTAGCTGGCTGTGATATCTGGTGCCTGTAGTCCCAGTTACCAGGAGGCTGAAGTGGGAGGACTGCTTGAGTCTGGGAGGTCACTTGATGCAGTGAGCTGTGATCGTGCCACCGCACTCTGCCTGGGCGACAGAGTGAAACTCTATCTCAACAAAAAAAGAAAAAAGACCAAGTAGAGAGTTGTGGATTGCAAAAACTAGTTCTAGCTTTTGAAATATCCTTATTTATTAAGATACTACATTTGGATAACAGAAGTTAAGAGAACAAAAGATATTGCACCTCAGATTTTAATGCCATAATCACTGCCTGTATTGTAATTAGTCATTTCTGGGTAATTATAGTAATCTCTTCAGAGTAGGAAAATTTTCACAGAAATGACTAATATTCAGGGAGAAACTACCATATCAAACTATGAGTTAAGGCCAGGCACAGTGGCTCACACATGTAATCCCAGCACTCTAGGAGGCCAAGGAGGGCAGATCACGTGAGGTCAGGAGTTCAAGCCTGGCCAACATGGTAAAACCTGACTGGCCAGCATGGTGAAACCTGCCTGTTCACCAGCCTGGCCAACACGCTGAAACCCGCCTCTACTAAAAATACAAAACATTAGTTGGGCGTGTTGGCTCAGGCCTGTAATCCCAGCTACTTGGGAGGCTGAGGCAGGAGAATCACTTAAACGTGGGAGATGGAGGTTGCAGTGAGCTGGGATGATGCCACTGCACTCCAGCCTGAGTGACAGAGAGAGACTCCGTCTCAAAAAAAAAAAAAGTGAGTTAAACTGATATCCACAGATGGTATACGGAACCAATATTATCACTTTGGGTAATCAAGTATGAACAACTGTATTTATTTATTTTTTTGAGACAGAGTTTCACTTTTGTTACTTAGGCTGGAGTGCAATGGCACACTCTCAGCTCATTGCAATCTCTGCCTCCTGGGTTCAAGTGCTTCTCCTGCCTCAGCCTACCGAGTAGCTAGGATTACAGGTGCCCACCACCACATCTGGCTAATTTTTGTATTTTTAGTAGAGATGGGGTTTCACTGTGTTGGCCAGGCTGGTTTCAAACTCCTGACCTGAGGTGATCCACCCGTCTTGGCCTCCCAAAATGCTGGGATTACAGGTGTGAGCCACCACACCAGGCCTATTATAGTTTCTCACATTGCAGTTATTCAGATGACCTAATAGTAGCCATTCTTATTAATCTAAATATTAATAGAAGCTGATAAAGACTCTGTAATAAAATAAGAAATTATGGTTGTAATCATACCGTTGCTGGAATAATCTCTGAGTTATATACCGTATCTCCATTTCGCAAGGATTTCTGTACCTCATGGATGTGATTTTTTATATCATTTACAGTTGGAAAAAAAGATAAGTTATGTCTTTCAGGTACCTCATCGGGTTTGAACAGTTCCCTTTCCACAAATTTTCTGTAAAGAATATAAAATGGAATAAAGATATAAACCATTTGGCAATATGCCTTTGGATCAAAAGAGAGAAAGGCTCTCTTTTAGTATAAACTCTTATAAAGTATGGTTTGGAGTTCTATAAAGAATTTGTATTTTCCTACTTAAAATTTTTCCATACATTACATCATAGAATTAATGTAGACTATAGAAATGCAATATTTTCACTGGTAAAACAACTAGTATATTAGAGTGAGCTTTGATATTTTTATGGATTTAAATAAACCCATTATTTTCAGTTTAAGTATAATAATGTTTTTCATGCTTACTATGTCAGGCACTGTATGGAACACTTCACATCAAATATCTCCTTTAACCCTTAATGATCAATGACATAGATACAATTATCATTCCCACTTTACAGATGACAGAACTGAGGGCTGTAGAAGTGAAATAATTTGCCCAAAATCCTACATCTACCTAGTAAATAAGAGAGCTTGGGCCTATACTCAGGTTATATGCATAAACATCATGTTACTATTGTTTCCAAAAGCGTCAATTAATATTCTATGAAATATGATGGGCTTAAAGTTTACTCGAAGACAAAGACATAAATAGAAGGCAGCAGCACTGTTATTGAATTATATAAAAAATAAATACATAAATAAAAACATAACATATATATGCTTATTATATTTGGTGGACCAAATAGCAGAGCTCTATTATACTTCTATTCTTAAGATTCAGGTTTAGTATAGTGAATGGCTTTTCCAAATTTTTGCCTTATGCTAATGATGCCCCAGTGGAAATAAATATAAAATGTGTAAGAAAACTGCTAAACAGAAAAGTCATGTATTAGTTAGGAAATAATTCTAGGAATTATAGTAAGTTCTCAGTTAACATCATGGATAGGTTCCTGGAAACTGAGACCTTAAGCGAAAGGACTTAAAACAAAACCAAATTATTTTTTCCAATGCTATAACAAAACAATACTGAACCAGGTGCAGTGGCTCACTCCTGGAATCCCAGCTACTTGGGAGGATCACTTGAGATCAGGGCTTCAAGACTAGCTTGGGCAACATAGCAAGACCCCTGTCTATTTTACAGAAAAAGTAAAAAGAAAAAAAAGAAAACAGAAAAGAAAAGGCGTTGAACAGAATGATATTACTCAAGGACCTGCTGTATTTCCTTTCACTTCAAGTAGCAGTTTTCAAGAACCTAATGATGACTTTAAGAGAGGAACTTACTATATTCAATTTGTTATTTAGATCAGATTACACAATAATCAGTAAGAGCAAGGCTAAGTATTATAAATCACCATGGCAATGGGCATAGGGTATAGAGTAAGGCCTAAATTTAAGTTCTGCCACTCCCTCTTAAGCCAATTATGTAACCACTCTGAGATTCCAGTTTCTCATGTGTAGAACTGAGATAAATATACCAACTCATAGTGGTATTGTAAGACTAAATGAGATCATACATGTAAAAAGCCTAGCACAGTAACTGGGACACACGTAATAAATAATTATATAATTACTTACGTAATTATTATTTCCTGAGGATCAAAAAACATAGACCAGAGTACTACAAATAAAATTTCACTAGACAAAGAACTATCCAAATTCTTGTGTTCTAATAAAATTTAACTGCATTTCAAATAGTCTGAAATACGTATCTTGGTCTAGGTTTTAAAATCTTTGGTTCTACAAAGGTTTTTTTCTTTAAAAGTATTTATTAAATAATTCAATATATACATCATTTAGAAATAGTCCAATTTGCCAAATCTGAATATAGAATATATCAAATGAGTAATTAGAAAGATAATAAACCATATTACACTATTGTTTGCCAAGCATATACTAGAAAGTTTATAAATGATTATTTTAATAAATTAATAAACTATATTTCTTATCTACCCTGATAGCATATATTTTGGAAAATATCTCCAATGTTCACTGTATTATTTAAAGCAACAAACAAAACTAAAAAATGTGAAAGAACGATGTGCTTCTGTTGTACCTTAGCTGTTTCCTTACTGCATATACTTGTTCTACTCCCTGTGATACTAATTCTTGAATCTTATGTGCTACTTGAGGATGTAAACGTGAGGGTAATGCACAATTCTCATCTCTAACTGCAGTTTCCTCTTCTTCAAGAGCAGACACAGGAAAAGGAGAAGGTGACAGAGGTAGGCAGGCAGTCTCTAATTCATGATACTGATGAGCTTGCTGTGTAGGTAACTGTACATACCACCTGGTAAGAGAAAATATTTAAAATTACTAAAATTTAAACACTAGAATTATTTAATATTATTAAACCAAGGTAGGAATCATAATTACTTAGGTTAATACTCATATAAAGAATTAATCCTTTAAGAAAATTAGCTGGGCGCGGTGGCTCAAGCCTGTAATCCCAGCACTTTGGGAGGCCGAGGCGGGTGGATCACGAGGTCAAGAGATCAAGACCATCCTGGTCAACATGGTGAAACCCCGTCTCTACTAAAAATACAAAAAATTAGCTGGGCATGGTGGCGCGTGCCTGTAATCCCAGTGACTCAGGAGGCTGAGGCAGGAGAATTGCCTGAACCCAGGAGGCGGAGGTTGCAGTGAGCCGAGATCGCGCCATTGTACTCCAGCCTGGTTAACAAGAGTGAAACTCTGTCTCAAAAAAAAAAAAAAAAAAAAAAGAAAGAAAGAAAATTATATATGATTATTTCATATCAAATAAAATTTAAAATAAATCTCTGCTTAACTCTTCTAAGTTCTGCTTTATCCAATTAAATTAAAATCTTTGTAAATATTTATGGATTTTCACTCTGGCCCCACAGTTGAGCTCCCTACAGGGATTTTAAGTATTATGAAAATGGCATTTTAAGTTTCATACTGTCTTGTTTTAGGTTCATGAGAAAAAAAATTCATAGTAGGTAAATTTTATCTCAAAATAAAGAGAAGACATTGTAAATCACTATCTTTTGAACTGTGTATTTTCCCATTCATCAAACATTTGTCCCAAATTATAATTCTCTGTTACACCTACCATCCTTCCAACCAAAGAGTTTATATAATTTACAATAGAACCTGTCAAGATTGAAGTTTATCGGTAGATTCTTCCCTCATAGGAGCTCAACAGGTTGCTTCTACAGCACTCCCACCTTCTGTTGGCCAAGTAAGCAAAACAATTAACTAAAGGTGAATGAAGATCTCTTGGAGAGTCATATAAAAAAAAATAGTCGGTAGGAAAATGAACTAATCTGATAGGATACTGCTTTAATTGATATTTCTATATAAAACTCTTACAACGACTGATATTGCCTACTTAAAAAGCATACGCAATTGTCGGGTGCAGTGGCTCATGCCTGTAATCCCAGCACTTTGGAAGGCCAAGGTGGGCAGATCACCTGAGGTTGGGAGTTCAAGACCAGCCTGACCAACATGGAAAAACCCCATCTCTACTAAAAATACAAAATTAGCTGGGTGCGGTGGTGCATGCCTGTAATCCCAGCTACCTGGGAGGCTGAGGCAGGAGAATCATTTGAATCCAGGAGGCGGAGGTTACAGTGAGTGAGATCACTGCCACTGTACTCCAGCCTGGGCAACAAGAGAGAAACTCCATCTAAAAAAAAAAAAAAAAAAAAAAATTGGCCGGGCGTGGTGGCTCACACCTGTAATCCAGGCACTTTGGAGGCCAAGGCAGGCGGATCACCTGAGGTCGGGAGTTCAAGACCAACCTGACCAACATGGTGAAACCCCAGTCTTTAAAAATAATAATAATAAAAAATTTTTTAAATAAAAAAATTTTTTTTAATTAAAAAAAATACGAAATGTTCTTCAAACTGAAGCATCTAATTTTTTTTAGTGATATATTTGACTTTATTGAAGGTTCTAATTATTGGTTCAATTTATTTTTCACATACCTAAAAGTTTTTTTAAAGATCACACAAAAACTATATACCATACACTTAAATCCACTATAAATAATAAATTATTCAGCTGGACTAACACAAAAAGGAAGTATAAAAGAATGTTAATATTTCTTATTTAAAACCTAAAACATAAAAGGAATAAAATGGAATTTTATTTAGGGCTTAGAATTCATTTCTGGCTGTCATAAGTAATCAAGGATGAGTTTAAAAAAATGAGATGTCTGCAGTTTCTGCTCACAGTAAGTATCTAAATCAAAGTACTAAATATATAATAAAATGTATTAAATATGTCTTTGTCATTTTGAAAAAAGCTTTCACATGGTATACAGTATATAGAGTATATGTTATACTGTATGGTATAATTCTTTGGTCTGAATTACCTACAACTTGTGGCTGAGAAACTCAATGGCTTATACAGTGGCAAATCAATTTAATATTTAGGGAACTACTATTGATATCTCTACCTTACAAAACCATCACTTAATGAAATAATTGGAAAAGTATAATTTCCCTCACAAAAGAATTCTTGGAAATTGAGCTAATTAATTTGTAAAATAAAAGAACTATATAAAGGTCATACCTAAGAACACCACCAGCATCTACCATGTTCTTCTTTAGCATGTTAAAGGCTTTTTCCTGCTCCATTCTGATAATTTTCTTGTCAATTTTGGGGTCTGTAGGAACTCTATATTCAGGAAACTTCTGTACCTTTTTAATGTAAATCCTTTATACAAGATAAAGAAGAATTTGTTTCATTATAATATAATCTCAAGAAAATCTATCTTATCAATCAGAAGTCTTAAGCTTAGAGAAAATACAATTTATCTGGAAAGTATTCAGAGGCTTATGTAAAATATATGGCATATTCTCAGTTGCATTCAACACTTAGCAAATTAAAAGTAAACATGATTTGAGTAAAAATATCTAAGTACTTACAGATTTTACCATTTTTTACCCTAGATTTGCCCCTTCTCTTCATTCTTCTGGAAGCCAAAATCATCTCACTCCTGGATTACTTCAATAGCCTCCTTCCAGGCCTGTGCCTCCAATCTTTCATTACTTAAATCCACTCGATAATTCAATGTCACAATAATTCTTCACATTTTTATTCCTCTGTTGAAGAATCTGCCTGCTCTTTAATTAAGTACAAATTTCTTGGCAGCATTCAAGACATTACGTATGATTCTAATTTATTTATCTAATCTTACTTTATATTACTTAAAATATAAAATTTCTTTTCCTATAAAGTTCATCTTCTCAATGTTCCTCTCAGTATTCCTTCTCAATGTTCCTAATGTAATACCAACCAGGTTAATTCTTCTGTAATTTTTTTTTTTTTTTTGAGACAGAGAGTCTCACTCTGTCACCCAGACTAAAGTGCAATGGTGCAATCTCGTCTCACTGCAATTTCTGCCTCCCAGATTCAAGCGATTCTCCTGCCTCAACCTCCCAAGTAGCTGGGATTACAGGCACGTGCTACCGTGTCTGACGTATTTTTAGTAGAGACGGGATTCCACTATGTTGGTCAGACTGGTCTCGAACTCCTGACTTCAAGTGATCTGCCATCCTCGGCCTCCCAAAGTGCTGGGATTATAGGCATGAGCCACCAGCACCTGGCCTCTGTCGCTTTATTATATGGTTCTCCTAACTTACAATATCATCTCTCTAACTCTCTACCCACCCAAATTTAGTTTAAACTTCAACATCCACTTTAAATTGTACTTTCTTTACTGCTATGAATTTGTAGAGATACATTCCTTCTTTAAAAACCTAAATAGGTAGTTAAATAATATATTTCACACTATATTCTATACTATCATGTTGTCTACCAGTTTTTGTTTCCTGATCCATTCTCTGGGATTAAGTAAAATTTAATTCCTCTTTTGGTTTCCTTCCTTTCTATGGCACCCAACGTAGTTTCTGGGCACAGAGTAGATACTCAAAAAGTACTTGCAAAATAATGGAAAATGAAATTATTTCTTTATATTTAGAGGGTTTCTCCCAAGTTATAGCTAAAGTTTTTATATTTAAGAAGCAACTGACAAGTTTCAAATGGAAAAAAAAAAGCAACTGAAAGTTTGTTTCACAGTCAGGTTTAAATATTACCTAAAGTCAATATTATAGAATTAAGTATGATAAGCCTTGTAAATGGGCTTTAAAAACTTCTTGAGAATGTTGAAGTATTTATAACATGAGATGTGATCCTAAAAGTGTTTCAAAGATCAACTAAGTCCAATCACTACACACTACCTTTTAAATTTTTTATTTTACCTAATAGTTTAAAACACTTTCAATATATTTTAAAAGTCTTAAAATACTTTCAATGTCTAAAAAATTTAAAAATACTATAAAATCTTTCATTGGTTCACATTTTTCATTTTTACTCAGAGCAATGACTACTCTGTAGTCCTATCTAAAACTTACCATGTTCGGTCTGATAATCTGCTGGTAAATTGATAAAATTGCTCTAAAAAGCAACTACGCAATACTTGCCAACATTTTTAAAAGATACAGTCTTTACCCTAGCAATTTCATTTCCAGGAATTTTTCCTACTGAAACATTTGTAGGAATGTACAAATATGTACAATGTTAATAACTGCAGCTTTGTATAGCATTAATAAAGAATACTTTTCACTTCACAGCTTATGTGAATTAAATAATTCATCCATAAATGGAATATTATATAGCTATTAAAAACCAGTACTTTTATGTACATATATGGAGTCAGCTTTGAGATACTGAAAATGAAAAAAAAAAGCAAAGTGTAAGTCATTACATTCACAATAGTATGTAGCATAATAGGTATATAGATTGAGAATCTGTGAATTCATATCAAGAGAAAAGGTACACTACTATCTAAGTTTAAGGAAAGAAAATATTAGTGAGCTTTACAGATTTTCAACAACATTGACAGGGGTAGAGGAGGAGATCTCTATCTCTCTGCCATTATATGCATCCATATACACAGCATATCTTTGAAAGATGACTCAAAAAACTAGTTAGGAGTTGTTGCTTTAAAGACACAACAAAAGGGGTAAGAGAAAACTTAGAATTCACTGTATACTTTTTGATAATGTATAAACCTAATAAAAAATATCTGTATTAGCTATTCAAAAATAAGTACTTAATAAAAAACAAACAAAAGAAAATAAAGCTTACCGAGCTGGACAAGTGGCTTTGTAGAGCTGACAAGACCTGCTTTCCTGCTCACTGATTTTTTTTAACTGGAAACCTTTTCTTCTTGGCCCATACTGACACTCCATTACCACAGCTCTACTCCCTGTGGGCCAAAACCAACTATTGATATTAATTCAACTGTCCATCTATTCTAGACACTAGATTAAAAGTAACTTGGTGGTGGCAATGTCAAAATCTTTCAAGTATACAGCTTTAAGGAAAGAAAACATTAATAAGTCTTATTAGAATGTATGAAACATAAAAGTTTATTTTAAAATTTACCAAATGTACAATAATTATGGTAAGAAAATAAGTGAATATCACATTTACTGAATGTCTACTGGCATGTAATTTTTTTTTTTTTTTTTTTTTTTGAGATGGAGTCTCACTTCTATCACCCAGGCTGGAGTGCAGTGGCACAATCTTGGCTCACTGCAATCTCCACCTCCTGGGTTCAAGTGATTCTCCTGCCTCAGCCTCCTGAGTAGCTGGGACTACAGGTGTGCACCACCATGCCAGCCTAATTTTTCTATTTTTAGTAGAGATGGAGTTTTGCCATGTTGGCCAGGCTGGTTTTGAACTCCTGATCTGAAGTGATCCACCTGTGTTAGCCTCCCAAAGGGCTGTGATTAGACACATAAGCCACTGCGCCCCTGCCTGACGTGATTTTTATACCATTTTATAAATAATGAGTAAATGTTACATTTAGTTAATAAATATTAACATCATTTAAATTTTCTTTCCTTTTATAATTATTTTCTTATTTTTATTTGGGCTGTTAATACAGCAACCAGCCCTAAGATGGCCTCCAGTAATCCATGCCTTCTAGTATTCATGTCCTTGAGTAATCCCCTCCCCTTAAACATGGGCTAGACTTATTAACTTACATCTAATAAATATGGCAGAAGTGATAGGAAGTTATTTTTGATATTAGGTTATAAAAAGACTGTAACTTCCATTTGGGTACTCTCTCTTGCCCTTCCTTGAATTGCTCTCTTTGGGTGTCATCAACTGCCATGTGGTAAGGGACCTCTGTGGAAAGGCCCAGATGACAAGGAATAAGGCCTGCTGACAGCCAAAAGAGTGGATCTGAAAGCAGACCCTCCCTCAGTCGAGTCATGAGATGACTGCAGCTTCAGCCAACACCTTAGTTGCAGTCTTATGAGAGAACCTGAGGCAGAACCACTTTGCTAAGTCACTCTTGGATTCCTGATCTGCAGAAACTGTGAGATAATAAATGTTTGTTGTTTTCAGCCACCAAGTTTGGAATAATTTGTTACACAGCAATAGATAATACAAATAAGCAGATGTGAAAATTATATAACTTAAGATTTTAAGTTTAATATCCTATGCTACTCTAGGATACAACAAATTTTTAAAATATAAAATAAAAACAACAATTACTAGTTAAAATGTTAAGCTGACATTAAAATATAAAAACTTCTGTTTAAAAGACACCATAAGTAAATATAAAAGTAATAGTTTGAGAAATAGCATTTTATAACATATATAACACAGTAAGTCCCCATGCAGAATTACTCTATAGACTACAAACAATCATAAATCATTAATAAACAACCATTCAGAAAAATGGACAAAAGCTATGAATAGCCAAGTCAGAAGAAAAAAAAAGGTAGTAAATGAACAAATAAAAAGATGTTCAACTTTACTAGTAAACAGGGAAATGCAAATTAAAACAATAGTAAAATACGATCTCATACTCCTCAGACTGGCAAAAATAAAAATACTTGACAATACCCTAAAACAACTGAATCCACTGATCAATCTGAACACCACAGAGAGACTCACAGATGGCAATAAGTACACAGCACACCTAGGAGGTATTCTTGAAAAAATCGAATCTGCATTTAATCAAGGCTCTAGACCTGTTTACAGAAAATACAAGTGATAAAGAACAAAAACTACATGAAACAGATGGAATCAGCAAAACCCAACATATGACAAATATTATAGAACAAACTACCTAGAGGAAAAGAGGAGAGAAATCTCCAAATAAAAAGAAGTTTAAGAGATTTATTAACTAAATGCAAGCTGTGGACCCTGCTGGATTTGAATTTGAACAACCTTTGAAGGGGGAAAACTGTCAGATAAGTGGGAAAATGTAAACACTGAACATTTTATAACATTAAGAAGTTACTGTTAATTATCTTATTAAGTGTGATAATGGAATGGTCATATATGTATGTTTGTGTACACACATATGCATACACATATATAAGGAGTCCTTATCTTTTAGAGATATATATTTTAGTATATACCATATACTTTAGTAATTATAGATGGAATGATATCTGAAAATGTGCTATAAAATCATCTAGGGAATGAGGAAGTGAAGGTGTCTGAGACAAGACTGACTATATACTGAAAGTTGTTGAAGCTGGAGGATAGATACTGGGAGTCATGGGGTTTCTTATATTATCATCTCTACTTTGATTGACATGTAAAAATTTCCATAATGTAAAGATTTTTTAAGGCTAGGCACAGTGGCTCATGCCTGTTAACACCAGCACTTTGGGAGGCTAAGGTGGGCAGACTACTTGAGTTTAGGAGTTCGAGACCAGCCTGGACATGGCAAAACCCATCTCTACAAAAAAATACAAAAACCGCCGGGCGCAGGTGGCTCACGCCTGTAATCCCAGCACTTTGGGAGGCCGAGGTGGGTGGATCACGAGGTTAAGAGATCGAGACCATCCTGGTCAACAAGGTGAAACCCCATCTCTACTAAAAATACAAAAATTAGTTGGGCATGGTGGTGTGTGCCTGTAATCCCAGCTACTCGGGAGGCTGACGCAGGAGAATTGCCTGAACCCAGGAGGCAGAGGTTGCGGTGAGCCGAGATCGCGCCATTGCACTCCAGTCTGGGTAACAAGAGCAAAACTCTGTCTCAAAAAAAAAAAAAAATACAAAAATTAGCTGAGTATGGTGGCACATGTCTGTACTCCCAGCTACTCAGGAGGCTGAGGCATGAGGATCTCTTGAGGCAAGGAGGTTGAGACTGCAGTGAGCTGAGATCGCACCACTGTATTCCAGACTAAGTGACAGAGTGAGTCACCCGCTTCAAAAAAAAAAAAAAAAGAAAAGAAAAAAGATTTTTAAATATCTGGCAATGCTAAGTCATGACACAAATGCAGAGAAATAAAATTTTCACATACTGCTGACAGGAGTGAATTGGTACAAATTGTCAAGCCCTTATGTACAAATCTGAAATCCAAAAAGCTCAGAGAACATTTTTTTGGGACTCATTTGGCTATAACACCGAGGCCTGAGCTGTGTGAGGCTATTTATAATCTTTATTTATTCCTCTTGGTCCTCTTTATTTATTCCTCTTAGTCTTACGGATTAGTACCAGTCCATTGCCTGTTAGGAACCAGGCCACACAGCAGGAGATGAGCAGTGAGCAAGCCAGCGAAGCTTCACCTGTATTTACAGCTGCTCCCCATCACCTGCATTACCTCCTGAGCCCTGCCTCCTGCCAGATTAGTGGCAGCATTAGATTCTCATAGAAGCAAGAACCCCATTATCAACTGCACATGCACGGGATCTAGGTTGCACACTCCCTATGAGAATCTAATGCCTGACGATCTATCACTGTCTCCAATCATCTCCAGCTGTGACCAGCTAGTTGCAGGAAAATATGCTCAGGGATCCCACTGACTCTATATTCTAGTGACTTGTATAATTATTTCATTACATATTACAATGTAGTAATAATAGAAATAAAGCATACAATAAATGTAATGTGCTTGAATCAACCCAAAACCATCCCCCAACCCCCAGCCCGGTCCGTGGAAAAACTGTCTTCCACATGACCAGTCCCTGGTGCGAAAAAGATTAGGGACTGCTGGTCTACAGAGTACCTGCTAAGAGTATTCCATGATGTTACCACATTACATTTAAAAAAATCAGAATTCTGAAATACACCTGGTCCAAAAAAATTTCAAAGGGATTCTTGACCTGTACAATCACTTTAGAGTACAATTTTAAGATAATCTTGTAAAGATGAAATGGGCATAATTCACAATCAGCAATTCTACTTTAAGGCATATACGCTAGAAAAACTAATCACAGCTTTTCATTAGAGTATGTCTACTGTGGAAGTTTGACTACAGCATTCTTTGTAATAATGAAAAGTTGTAAACAACCTAAATGATGATCAACAGAAAAATAATTTGGTCATACGCTAGAGTATTATACAATGATTAAACTGGATTAACTAGGATTTATAAATATCAATACCAACAGATGTAAAAAGATGTAAAAAAGAATAAGGGCGAGTAAAAAACTTTGCAAAACAAGACCTACACGATACTATTTATGCATTTTTTAAAAATCCAAAACAAATAATATTATTATTATTTTTTTTTTTGAGACGGAGTTTCGCTCTTGTTACCCAGGCTGGAGTGCAATGGCGCAATCTCGGCTCACCACAACCTCCACCTCCTGGGTTCAGGCAATTCTCCTGCCTCAGCCTCCTGAGTAGCTGGGATTACAGGCACGCGCCACCATGCCCAGCTAATTTTTTTGTATTTTTAGTAGAGACGGGGTTTCACCATGTTGACCAGGATGGTCTCGATCTCTTGACCTCGTGATCCGCCCACCTCGGCCTCCCAAAGTGCTGGGATTACAGGCTTGAGCCACCAGCGCCCGGCCTAAAATACATTATTATAGATACAAATATGTAAGGTAAAGTATAAAAATACAGACTAGAAAGATAAACCGAAAATTCATGTAGTAGCTACCTATGGAATGTTAAGGAGATTAGACCAAGGATGGAAAAAAGGAAGGCTACAGAATTTCAAGTTTATTTTTCTTATTTATTAATTCTTTTTTTTAAGACACAGGGTCTTCCTCTGTCACCCAGGCTGGAGTGCAGTGGCATGACCACGGTTCACTGGGGCCTCAACCTCCAAGGGTCAAGTGATCCTTCCACCTCAGCCTCCCAAATAGCTGGGACCGCAGTCCCATGCCCCCATGTCCAGTTAATTAATTTTTTTGTAAACATGGGGTCTCCCTATTTTGCCCAGGTAGGTCTCAAACTCCTGGGCTCAAGCAATCCCCTTGCCTTGGCCTCGTAAAGTGCTGGGATTACAGGTATGAGCCACCAAGTTTAAAACAAACAAACCCAGCTCATTTATGTTTAATGTTGTATTTCTTTTATAGACTACTGATGAAACAGGCAGAAGGGGTTACATTTATCTCATCTTCCCTTAAGTATTTATTTCTCATTAAACCTCAGAGGTCCAGGATGAAACTGCAACTCTTTCACTTAATTTGGTGCCCCCATAATCCTAAAATAAATTGCTTAGTTTTAGATTATTTGGGACTCTAGTCTAAGAGGTTTGCTTGAAACTGTACTCCCTTAGTAGGCACTAACCCAGTGTCTAAGAATACTGTACATAACACACCTAATGCTTGAGAACTTTAGTATCAGAATTCTATAATAACTCAAGATTGTATACAAATTCTACAGTCAACTTCAGAGTTACAAGCTACACAAAATAGACACAAATTTCTCCTACAATGTAACTTAAGACAGAAGGTAAAATATTTAAATTGAAGGGGAAAAACACAGCTGATGTACATATTTAAAATAAAACTGCTCTTTTAATATTTTATCAATAGGTTTAACTACAATTTCAATATTTTATTTTTATTTTTCAATATATTAAAGAAGTCTTATTCACTGCTATATTAAAATGCAATCTTTAATTATATTTACTATGTTTTTTTAGTTTAATATACATTTTAATCAATTAGTATTCAATTGTCAGCTACCAAAATAAAAATGTATCACCTTAGAAAAATCACGTTTTCACAATGTACTATGGCTGCTGCTGAACCTTTTAAAATAATTCTTTAAAAAAGTACCTGCATTAACAAATGGGATTCCATCATATGGGACATACTGGGATTTCCACATCAAGCGTGTAGCAGGCTTGGCTGGGCTTGGAGACTGACGGGTTCCCCAAACAGTCTGTGTTTGCTGCTTGTGAAATGTTAGGACACTTTCTAATTCAGTCTCGCTTACACAGTAGCCACGGTAAGAATCTCCAATTTTCTGCATGTGGTAGAAATTAAACAAAATTACCAGCAAATACACTTCATTGCATAATAAATGCAATGAGATGGCTGTCCCAGATGGAAGACTCATCACCTTTCACAAGACAATGTCATTTGTTCCCTCAGATCAATGGTCTATTACAACCACTGGGTCTGATTTGAATTCAACCAGTATCATCAAATGGGTATTTTGTAGGTATTTGTTAGGGAATATAATGCCAAACTCATTGCCATATTATCTTTATCAACTTCTTGTTTGAGACAAAGAATATTTAGAAAAGATAACTTACAAGAACATATAATGTGTATCCATTATTTCTGATACTTAAAACTCTACCCTGGATCAAACCAGATCAGCATATAACTAGCCACAAAGTGCTCATTCCCTGTGGGGCTTCCTTTAATGAAATGGACTTTTTTTTTTGGTGGACTGGGGTGGGGAGCAGAAAGGAAAGAGGAAGGTAAGAAGGAAGGAGGAAGGTAAAGATGGAAGGAAGGAAAGAAAGAAGAGGAAGAAAATGCAGGCAGGTAGGAAGGAAGGAAGCCCTGAGATTAATTTGATAGGATGCCATGCATCTATTAGAAACTGAATGAAAATTGTGATTGATTGACAAAAATGCTGTAGAAGAATTTGTTCATTATATCAACATTCTTCTTATAAAAATCCTTCTCTGAAGCCAGGTGTGGTGGCTCACACCCGTAATCCCAGCACTGTGGGAGGCCGAGGCGGGCAGATCACCTGAGGTAAGGAATTTGAGACCAGCCTGGCCAATATGGCAAAACCCGTCTCTACTAAAAATACAAAAATTAGCTGGGTGTGGTGGCACTCGCCTGCAGTCTCAGCTACCTGGGAGGCTGAGGCACGAGAATACCCTGAACCTGGAAGGCAGAGGTTGCAGTGAGCTGAGATTGTGCCACTGTACTCCAGCCTGGGAAACAAAGCAAGGCATTGTCTAAATATCTTTAAAAAAAAAAAAAAAAAGATCCTTCTCTGAGACAAATTTGTCTGGTCTTAGTACCAAAAATAATTAATGGTTTGCTTATGTATTATGAAAATTAGCATAATTTTAAAATCTAACAGGCACAGAATTTAGTAACTACATTTCCCCTTTTGAAAAGCAGATACCTGGCCAGTCGCAGTGGCTCACGTCTGTAATCCCAGCACTTTGGGAGGCCGAGGCGGGTGGATCACAAGGTCAAGAGATTGAGACCATCCTGGTCAACGTGGTGAAACCCTGTCTCTACTAAAAATACAAAAATTAGCTGGGCATGGTGGCACACGCCTGTAGTCCCAGCTACTCGGGAGGCTGAGGCAGGAGAATTGCTTGAACCCAGGAGGCGGAGGTTGCGGTGAGCCAAGATCGCACCATTGCACTCCAGCCTGGGTAACAAGAGCGAAACTCCGTCTCAAAAAAAAAAAAGCAGATACCTAGATTACAGACAAGTATATGTACACATACACACACAGTTGGTTAAGACACGTATTTTCTTAAGACTTCTGCTTTATGTTCCCATTCTTGTCCTTATTGTTTAGCTCCCACTTTTAATTTCCACCTTGCTAATATACTTCTGCTTTATGTTCCCATTCTTGTCCTTATTATTTAGCTCCCACTTTTAATTTCCACCTTGCTAATATATTTTACATATTTTGTAAGTTCTCTTAAATTCTTTCTGAAACAAGGAAAGGCATAAATAATGTAAATAAATTGATATTATCTACACACAACCATTTGAGTATCCCTGTACTAGAGGAGAAACTTTTTCTTTCTTTTTTTTTTTTGATAAGTTTCACTCTTGTTGCCCAGGCTGGAGTGCAATGACACGATTTCGGCTTATTGCAACCTCCACCTCCTGGGTTCAAACAAGTCTCCTGCCTCAGCCTTCCGAGTAGCTGGGATTACAGCCACCATGCTTGGTGAATTTTTATATTTTTAGTAGAGATGGGGTTTTGCCATGTTGACCAGGCTGGTCACGAACTACTGACCTCAGGTGATCAGCCCACCTTGGCCTCCCAAAGTGCTGGGATTACAGGCATGAGTCATCGCGCCCGATCAAGGAGAAACTTTTTCTATACCAACAGAAAATATGTTAACTGTGATCTCTTACAATGAAATGCATAGACCTAGAATTGATTCCATGTATGTTTCCCCCTTACAGGAAATAAGAGATGTGGGCAGAGAAGTCTTGTTCTTCCTCATTAGACTAAATATTTTACTTTGGAAGAATACATTTAACAAATAAAAAGGTATCGAATACTGTTGTGGCTGTACTTTTGGTCATAATAGTTAAGAGATAATCTGATGCCACACAATACATTATCTAAAGTTTCCTCTAAAAATAATGAAAATGTTTATGTTTATAATTTTTCTGCTAGCCTAGACAACTCTCTAACAAAATATTCACTACAAACAAATGAATATAAATTTTAGCTATAACACTATAATTTATTTATAAATAAAACAGAATATGTGCCAATAAATTTAAAAAATCAGAATAATATAATCAGAGCCATATATACTTATAAACAGGTCTGAAGATAAAATTTTCATACAGTATTGAAATTTGTCCAGTTAATATACTTTTGGTCAAATCAAACATCATTAAATGAGAAATTCAAAAAATAAAAAGGATTACTAAACAGTATTTTGAACCAAAGGCAGAAAATATTTCCTCAGCCATTAACCAAAAATTTTGTTTATCACTGATAGAGCTTGGGAGAGAAGAAAGAACCCCTTACTGGCAAAGAAGTGGTTGTTTACCTTGCACAACCATACTCAAGTCTGTTGGATAGTAGCACCCAGTTTCTTACAAGATATGTGACGACTTTAGATAAGCCATACAAGGCACCATAATTGTAACATAAGGTGACTTGGTTGCATGATTGTATTAATAAATGCTCTAATATCCATGGCATTCCATGAGGTTCATAATAATGATTTTTAAAACCCTCATCAGACAATCACAACAGTAACTTCAGGAAGCCACTAAAAAACTATGACTAACAAAAAGTAGGGGGAGAAAAACCTAAAAATACACACACACATATATGTACATACATACATGTACTCTACTTAGAAAAGTAACAATGATAATGTCCTAACAAATGTAATATACACAGCACAAGGTTTTTTATTAGACATTTTCTCAAACTATTAAAATAGAAAGATATTTTTCTTTCCCTCATTTTAAGATTTGTTTTAAACAATGAAGCATTCTGATAGTTAAATATTTATCACCACCTATGGTTTGTATATAGAATAGGCATGGTCCCTTTCCCAAAAAGTCTAATTGTTATGTAACACTGAACAACCCAAGCTAGCAAATCTTTTTTTTTTTTTTTTTGAGACGAAGTCTTGCTCTGTCATGCAGGCTGGGGTGCAGCAGCATGATCTTGGCTCACTGCAACCTGTCTCCTAAATTCAAGCAATTCTCCTACCTCAGTCTCCTGAGTAGCTAGGACTACAGGTGTCCACCACCACACCCGGCTAATTTTTATATTTTAGTAGAGATGGGGTTTCACCATGTTGGTTGGCCAGGCTAGTCTCAAACTCCTCACCTCAAGTGATCCGCCCGCCTTGGCTTCCCAAAGTACTAAGATTACAAAAGTGAGCCACCACACCTGGCTTAGGCTAGTAAATAATTAAGAATGACAATTAATACTAAAGAATTTTAAGAGAGAAATAGGTGAAGGCTAAAATAATCATTAGATAATTTATAGAAAAGATATGCACGACTTGCACTGGGATTTGAAAAATAGTTAGAAATGGCAAGTAGAAGAAAAAAGTGACATATAGGAAAAGGAAATAAAAATGAGTAAAAGGAGAGCTAAAGAAAGATTCTGGAGGCCGGGCATGCTGGCTCACGCCTGTAATCCCAGCACTTTGGGAGGCCGAGGCAGGCGGATCACGAGGTCAAGAGATCGAGACCATCCTGGCTAACACTGAAACCCCATCTCTACCAAAAATACAAAAAAATTTGCCGGGCGTGGTGGCATGCGCCTGCGGTCCCAGCTACAATGGAGGCTGAGGCGGAAGAATCGCTTGAACCCAGGAGGCAGAGGTTGCAGTGAGCCAAGATTGTGCCACTGCACTCCAGCCTGGTGACAGAGCAAGACTCTGTCTCAAAAAAAAAAAAAGAAAGAAAGAAAGATTCTGGAGTATCTGTCAAAAGTAGGTTAACAAGAATGAAGATGAGTTTGAGAAAAGTAGGAAAATAAAGTAGGACAAGGTAGAACAATACCAGATTATGAAAGGCATTGAAAGCTAGCTACAGTGGCTAAATTATGTGGAAAAAATAACAAGACTTATTGGGCACTGAAAAAAGACAATTAAAATAATCTTCAAATACAAGCAGTTTTAGAAAAATGCACATTAGGGAAGCAGGAGAGTCACAGGGAAGGCTATTCCTGTAATCAAGCACAACAGGACAAAGGTCTATGGAAAAATGGGCCAAAAAGAAAAAGATATTTTGAAGGAAAAACTAAAAGAACCTGGTGACTACTGCTGGGCATAGTGGCTCATGCCTGTAATCCCAGCACTTTGGGAGGCTGAGGTGGGCAGATCACTTGAGGCTGGGAGTTCGAGACCAGCCTGGCCAACATAGCAAAACCCCATCTCTACTAAATATACAAAAATTAGCTGCGTGTGGTGGCACACGCAAGTAGCCCGAGCTACTCAAGAGGCTGAGGGAGAATTGCTTGAACCTGGGAGTCGGAAGTTGCAATGCGCTGAGATCGTGCCTCTACACTCAAGTCTATGTGACAGAGGGAGACTCCATCTCAAAAAAAAAAGAAAAGAAAAATCTGGTGACTACCTAAAATGTGGGAAAGGAAGAAATTAGTATAAAACATTATGCCTGGCTATCTAAGGAAATGGTACTTGTCATCACACACAAATGGAATTTCAGAAGTGGAGCTAGTTGTCACATGGTAGATGATTTCAGTATGGGATATGGTGAATTTGAGGTAAAATTCAAATAAGCCTGAATCAAGCAAGTAGCCAGATATCTGGGACAAGAGGAAGGAAGAATTCAAAAACTGGTGGCCAGGCATGGTGGCTTATACCTGTAATCCCAGAACTTTGGGAGGTCGAGGTGGGTGGATCACCTGAAGTCAGGAGTTTGAGACTAGTCCGGCCAACGCAGTGAAACCCTGTCTCTGCTAAAAATACAAAAATTAGCCAGGTGTGGTGGCACATGCCTGTAATCCCGGCTACTTGGGTGGCTGAGGCACAAGAATTGCTTAAATCTAGGCGGCAGAGGCTGCAGTGGGCTGAGATTGCACCACTGCACTCCAGCCTGAGGGAGTGAAACTCTGTCTGAATAAACAAACAAACAAACAACAAATTGGTGATGCAGACTTGAACATCGTTTTCATAGATGTGAGTTGACAGTCAACAAAGTAGGTAAGTGCTCCAAAAGATAAAATACAGAGAAAGACAAGGTCAGTAAGTGACCCTTGAAGAATTTTCTACTGATAATATGAAAAAAAAAAAAAAAAGTACAAGCAAAGAAAGAGAAGAAATAGTTGAAAAGTATTGCAGAGAAACATGATAGTGAAGTTTCATGAACTATGAGGGAAGAGTTGCAAGAGAAGAAATGATGGTAAAATGTTAAGAGATTTATATAACCTCTGCTTTAACAGAGCTTAGAATCTCTAAGAATTAAAGAATCAATGAGATCAGATTTAACATAAACACAAACAAAATATTATAAATATAGCCTATATTAGTTGTATTCAAAAGTGGCATTTGGGGATGAACTATGGTTATAAGCAGTTAAGTAATTCTAGGTAATGATTATTTTTAACTCACCTCACAGCTCCTGAGACGGCAGGCCCATATAGGTGTGTTAGAGGAAAGTGGCTGAAGAGGCGCCAGAAGAGGTTCTTCCAGCATTCTGGGATAGGGGAGAAATATATATAAACATGCAGTTCAATGAACACACAAAATGCGTTCAATTGTTTTATCTTCTTAGTATCAAAGATAATATATTGAAATCAACATTAAGAGATTTGAACGATAATTACAGATTGATCTGATAGGTATTTTAGTTATCATTTTCTGCAACCATTACTATTTTATTAACTGCTAAGTCAAAGACCTAAGTTTCTTCTTCCAGGTACACGCAGTCCCAACAAATTCAACTGTTTTATATATCTCTCCCAAAGCTTATTTTGTACTCTTATTATATAACTGTTTTCATTTATCAAAAAAATGATAAATTTGACTAGTTCAAAGTAATACTATGTGTCACTTCTTGGCCTTTTAGCTAAGATCAAGTGAAAAGTAACATTATGAAATTCTAAGATTAAATGTCAAAATGTTGTCTTAATTCAAAAATACTTTTATGGAACAATTAAAATAATATAAACCATGTACATATTTCCCTAAAATATCACAGTTTTATTTTAAAGGAAAAACAAAAACTGAAATAAAAGTTAGCAAAAAAAATTTTAAACATTTTACCACAGAGGAATTCTATGCATAAAAATGTGATTAAACGGCCGGGTGCGGGGGCTCAAGCCTGTAATCCCAGCACTTTGGGAGGCCGAGGTGGGTGGATCACAAGGTCGACAGATCGAGACCATCCTGGTCAACGTGGTGGAACCCCGTCTCTACTAAAATACAAAAAAAAATTAGCTGGGCATGGTGGCGCGTGCCTGTAATCCCAGCTACTCAGGAGGCTGAGGCAGGAGAATTGCCTGAACCCAGGAGGCGGAGGTTGCGGTGAGCCGAGATCGCGCCATTGCACTCCAGCCTGGGTAACAAAAGTGAAACTGCGTCTCAAAAAAAAAAAAAAATGTGATTAAACAATCAAAAAATTTTAGGAACTTATAATGACTGTTACTTTATTCTAAAAAGTCTGTTAGTGTCAGATTAAATAAGTTAATAAAATCTTCATACTGCTTCAAAAGATGACAAATGTCACTGAGGAAAAGTGGTGATTCTGACATTTATAGCTTCCAAAGTAGCCTCCTTATTACCAAGATGCCTTAAAATAACTAAAGATATATTTGATGACAGTACCTTCTATTTTCTGATCTTCTCCATATTCAGCCAGCTTTAAATGTGATGATCTGTAAAAAGACTTCCATGGTAATATTAAGAGATGAGCTCCTCTTTCCCATGGACTCACCTGGTTACTGACTTTTTGGGCAATGTGAAGGATGACTGTGGATGAAGAATGTAATTGCTAGGATTGTCTGCTAGAGTATCCATGCTTACAGTTGATAAGTTTCTGTCACTGGGTTTCTCTTCAGGGACATCTCAACAACAAAAACAAGAACAAAGTAACATCAGTATCTTGAATAAGACCATAAGAATATACCTAACTAAAGCTTACATATTTGTAATAGGTAAGGAAAATTTACGCTTTATTGAGAATTTCTCTGGTACTTGTTTACTTTAAATTATAATACTATTGTAATTTTATAATTAAGTTTTAGAATTTATATTGAATAGACAGGATATAAAAGTGGTAAAATAATTTTATGTTAAGAGTTCTGTAAATATATAGGAAAATGTAAAACTAATTTTGTTTATATACTGTGCTTGTAATGTTTTCTGTAAATTATAGTTTTCTCTTAAGTCTTAATGACTATTAACAAAGAATGATAATACTAAGGTTAAATATCTGCCCTAAACCATTAGCTATGAAGAAGCAACAAAACAGTATAGCTCTGAGGTTAGAAGAGATTCAAATAGAGGGGAATGGGGGGAAAGCAGAAAAAAAAAAAAAAAAAAAAAAAGAGAACTAACAGGCATATTATCAAACAGGTAAAGAAAGAATATATAAAGAGAAATAAAAAGCATGATTCTCCTTTCTGAACCTGAAGGGGCCAAGGAAAGAGGAAAAGAGCAAGAAGATAAAAAGGGTAGTTTAAAAAAAAAAGTAATGAGTAACATGGCTAATAAAAATACTGATAAAGAGGCCAGGTTAGGTGGCTTACGCCTGTAATCCCAGCACTTTGGGAGGCCGAGGTGGGCGGATCATGAGGTCAGGAGTTCAAGACCAGCCTGACCAACATGGTGAAACCCCATCTCTACTAACAATACAAAAATTAGCTGGGCATGGTGGTGTGGGCCTGTAATCTCAGCTACTCAAAAGGCTGAGGCAGGAGAATCACTGGAACCTGGGAGGCGGAGGTGGTGGTGAGTGGAGACTGCGCCAATGCATTCCAGCCTGAGTGAGAGCAAGACTACGTCTCAAAAAACAAACAAATTAATTAATTAAAATTGTTAAGGATATAAATAAGAACTTCTGTAGCTATTAGCACTATATTCTCGCTAATGTTGCTGTTATTGTTACTGTTATAATTAAGAAGAATTTATTTTATGCTCACTGGTCATTTGGGAGGAAGCAGGAATCAACCAGCTTCATAGAATTCCAAAATGAAATAGACAGCTAACCTAGATAGGAGTTGAAAAATGAACTTTGAATTTATTTGGGCCAGGAACTATTTTCTAATTATTCAATTCATAATCTTTTACCTTAAAGAGATCAAATTTAGCACTGACTTTCACAAGGTGATTTTTCTAAAATATTTATATTTTTAAAACACTCTCAAATCACCTATATCCCATTGTTACTCACCGCGAGGACTATTCACATCCACAAGCTGCCCCGGAGGTATAATCACTTGTGCCATTCCTGTCTGGGTAGATGGAATTACACGAAGTACCTGTCCGTTTTCTGATGAGCTGGCAACGATCATCTTGGAAGCATTAGAAAAAAAAAAAATCAAATGCATATGCCTGCACTGATTTAACAAAAATTATTAGTTAAATAAATTACTAAACACATACCTAGCTCTATGGTGGATCCTATGATTTCCCCCATTTTATAGATGAAAACATTGAGGTACATAAACATTTTTTCCAAGGTCTCACAACTGATAAGCGGTAAAGCCAGGATTAAAAACAGGCACTTTGACGCTAATCCTAGGGTCTTAACCATCAGCAGTCTTAATCATTACACATGCATGAAGTCCAATTACTTGGTAATCTGAATTAGTCTGTCTGGACTTAATACATTTACCTTTTGCCAATTAGTGTATTATTCATGCATGTTTCACCTATTTGTGTGGCTATCATTTGTCTTAAAGTCATTTTCACTAGTTTAAAAATGGTAACTTGTTAAATGCCTAATTAAATAGGATTTATGTTTGTATCTCAGCATTTACATATAGCTTCTACAGTTTCATAAAGAATACTACAACGTGCCCCAAAAGTCTGAAAAGACAGGGAAAATAGTATATTTATTGTGCTTTTTTCAGTTTAACAACTGAATCCACTCCCTCAAATTTAGAGGAATATCAACTAAAAAGGCATATGAAGTTGAAGAAAAACTTTTGGGCCTATCATTTAAAAGTATAACTAATTTAGTATTTCAAATTAAGTTTATCTTATGCTTCTAAGACTTTTTGGACATCACATAAATTTTATTACTTACTACTCTCCTACTGACACAGTTTTACAGTTTTATCCAAAGTTTCCTGTCCTCTTTAGTGCAGGTAACAATCCTTAATCATTCCAACCCACTTTCCCAGACTCACCTTTTGCTAGGTAAAACATGAAAATATTGCTGATGCTTGACAGATTATAGCTCATGCCTGTAATCCCAGTACTTTGGGAGGCCAAGGCAAGGATTGCTTGAACCCAGGAGTTTGAACTTGGGCTACCTGTCTCTACAAAAAAAATTTAAAAATCAGCTAAATGTGATGGCATGTGCCTGTTGCTACTCTGGAGGCTCAGGTGGGAGGATCACTTGAGCCTGGGAGGTCAAGGCTGCAGTGAGCCATGATCATGCTGCTGTACTCCAGCCTGGGTGACAGAGCAAAACTTTGTCTTGGAAAAAAAAAAAGGGCCATTAAAAAAAAAGCAAATATAAATTTGAAAAAAATAAAAATAAATTAAATGTTGGGGGAAAAAACTTCGACAAACTAGAATGCTTTAAATATTAATATATCATAAACAGTTTCCAGAAATTAAGAATGGGAATTGTTTTCTTCCTTCCCCCAATGTTTAACAAGTTTCTTGAGATAAAAACATCCTGCCATAACACATAACTTTAGCATGAAATAGCAACTGTAAACTCTGATGACAACTGCTTACACATGCTGAGTGCATACTAAGTGGCAGGACTTTGAATGCATTACCTCATTTAATCCTCATCACATGTATATCACGTATATGCATTTTATAAATGAGGAAACTGTCACACAGAGGTTATAAAACTCATACAAGGTTACACAGAGCTATTTAGTGGTAGGCTATGATTGAAGCAATCTGACTCCTTTAAACCATCTCTCTCTACTGCCTCCCAATATTTGACAATGCTACTTAATCTAAAAAGAAAAAAGACAAAAACAAAACAACAGTAAAAAAACCCTGCTGGACATTAAAAGGCAACAGTAATAATATTGTTTTAAATTCTTTACCCCTTACAATGACATTGAATATCTGTGAAAAAAAATACATATATCTATTTAACTTTTAGGACTGGGGAAAGGAAAAATACTCTATTTGTTTTTAGAAAATGAGTGCTGTGGTTATTTTTAAATCCAAATTAAACAAAATTAAGTTGTTATAAGTTATTCAATCATATTTAAAATTCATAATTAAGACTGGTATGTAGAATATCCTCTTAATATTGAAACTATGTTTTCCAAGCACAGAAGAGAAGAGTCTCATTTATTTTCTCACTTCTTAGCTTATTCTCCCCGGTACCTAAAAAACTATTTTCAATTAATATAATCTGACAGTGATAACAATATTACTTTTCCTATTTTTAAAAAACCAGCTAATTACCTTTAATCTTTGCAATGAAAGCAAACATGGTTTTGATGAGTCATCTGCTACAACACATTCTATTTCAGGCAGACCATGAAAATTATCAGAATACTTTAGCTGAGTGGTCTTTTACCTGCTGGGCTCTTTGTGTACAATATTTCTAATAAACCCAAAAGACCAATTCAGCTTCACTCCAAAAACCTCTTCATCCATTGCAGATTCACTCACTACAGAATCTTTATTAATAAATTTTATATAAAAAGTCATATTGGGCCAGGCATGGTGGCTCACACCTGTAATTCCAGCACTTTGGGAGACCAAGACAGGTGGATAACCTGAGGTTAGGAGTTCGAGACTGGCCTGGTCAATGTAAGAAAGTCTGTCTCCACTAAAAATACAAAATTTAACTGGGCATGGTGGTGGGCAACTGTAATCCCAGCTACTCAGTAGGCTGAGGCAGAAGAATCGCTTGAATCTGGGAGGCAGAGGTTGCAGTGAGCCAAGATCATGCCATTGCACTCCAGCCTCCAGCCTGGGTGAGAGAGCAAGACTCCATCTAAAAAAAAAAAAAAAAAAAAAAAAAAAAAAAAAAAAAAAAGTCATACTGAAAGAAAAGGAACATATATTTCTTTCAAAAAGCTCCATTTGGCTGATGGCAGTGGTATGTCCCTGTAGTTCTAGTTACTCTGGAGGCTATGATTGTGCCACTGCACTTAAGCCTAGATAACAGAGTGAGACATATCTCTTAAAAATAATAAATTAATTAAAATAAATTAAGAAAAACAAAATGCTTAGCTACAAACCCATAGCGAACATCATAGTAAATGGGCAAAATCTGGAAGAATTCTCCTTGAAAACCAGCACGAGAAAAGAATGCCCTCTCTCACCACTCCTTTTTTTTTTTCCACCACTCCTATTTAACACAGTATTGGAAGTCCTAGCCAAAGCAATCAGGCAGAGGAAGAAATAAAGGCCATCCAGGTAGGAAGAGAGGAAGCTGAACTATCTTTATTTGCAGACGACATGATTTTATATTTAGAAAACCCCATATTCTCAGTCCGAAAGCTCCTCCAGAAGATAAACAATTTCAGCAAAGTTTCAGGATACAAAATCAACGTACAAAAATCACTAGCATTCCAATATACCAACAACAACCAAGACAGCCAAATCAGGAAGGGAATTCCATTCATAATTGCCACAAAAAGAATAAAATACCTAGGAATACAGAAAGGTGAAAAATCTCTAGAATAGGAATAACAAAAGTCTTGCAAAAATTAGCTGGGCGTCCTGTAATCCCAGCTACCCAGGAGGCTGAGGCAGGAGAATCGTTTGAACCTGGAAAGTGGAGGTGCAGTGAGCCGAGATTGCGATCATACCATAGTACTCCAGCTTGGGTGACAGAGCAAAAATCCAGTTCCAGGGAGAAAAAAAAAAAAAAATTACAGAGGCCTGCTCAAATAAATCAGAGAAGATACAAACAAATGGAAAAAAATCCATGCTCATGGATAGGAAGAAGCAATATCATTAAAATGGCCACACTGCCCAAAGCAATTCACAGATTCAATGCTATTCCTATCAATGGCAACTACCAATGGTATTCTTCACAGAACTAGAAAAAACTATTTTAAAATTCAGATGGAACCAAAAAAGAGCCCAAATAGCTAAGGTGATCCTAAGCAAAAAGTACAAAGCTGAAGGCATTATGTTACCTGACTGCAAGTTACACTACAAGGCTACAGTAACCAAAACAGAATGGTACTGCTACAAAAACAGACACACAGACCAATGGAACAGAAAAGAGAGAGCGCGCGCAGAAACAAGGCTGCACACCTACAACCATTTGATCTTCAACAAAGCTGACAAAAACAAGCATAAAGGAAACAGCTCCCTCTTAAGTAAATGGTGCTAGGACTACAGGTTAGCCATATGCAGAAGACAGAAGCTGGACCCCTTCCTTGCTCCATATACAAAAATAAACTCAAGATGAACTAAAGATTTAAATATAAAACCCAAAACTATAAAAACCTGGAAGACAACCTAGGCAATACCATCCCAGACATGGGAATGGGTAGAGATTTCAGGACAAAACCACTAAAAGCAAAAATTGGCAAATGCAATCTAAATAAATTTAAGAACGTATACACAGCAAAAGAAACTATTAACAGAGTAAACACACAATCTAAAGAATGGTAGAAAATATTTGCAAACTATGCACCTGACAAAGGTCTAATATCCAGCATCTATATGGAACTTAAGCAAATTTACATGAGAAAAACAAACACACTGAAAAGTGTGCTAAGGATATGAACAGACACTTTTTTTTTTTAAAGTTCTGGAATACATGTGCAGAATGTGCAGGTCTGTTACATAGGTATACATGTGTCATGGTGGTTTGCTGCACCCATCAACCTGTCATCTAGGTTTTAAGTCCTGCATGTATTAGGTATTTGTCCTAGTGCTCTCCCTCCCCTTTCCCCCTACTCCCTGACAGACCCTGGTGTGTGATGTTCCCCTTCCTGTGTCCATGTGTTCTCACTGCTCAACTCCAACTTATGAGTGAGAACATATGGTATTTGGTTTTCTGTTCATATGTTAGTTTGCTGAAGATAATGGTTTCCAGCTTCATCCATGTCCCTGCCAAGAATATGAACTCATTCTTTATGGCTGCATAGTATTCTATGGTATATATGTGCCACATTTCCTTTATGTAGTCTATTTTTGATGCGCATTTGGGGTGGTTCCAAGTCTTTGCTATTGTAAGTAGTGCTGCAATAAACATAAATGTGCATGTGTCTTTATAGTAGAATATTTTATAATCCTTTGGGTATATACCCGTATTGGGATTGCTAGGTCAAATGGCATTTCTGGTTCTAGATCCTTGAGGAATCATCACACTATCTTCCACAATGGTTGAACTAATTTA